CTAACTACGACGCACCCCCAAACGAGCACATACGAGCACTGTTCAAAACTCTGTGTTGCCTCTTGATACTGCTATTATATACTGCTTAAGAACGGATTTCCCAGTTGATGGATTGTGACAATCCCCATTAATTATATTGGATAGTGTAACATAGTGTAACACTATATAATCATCAGCAAACAGGGGTTTTGAACACTGCTCAGGAGGATTATGAAGCAGCTATATCAAACAGGAAGCAACTATGTTCAACATTGGCTGTTCTGCTTTCAAGTTCACAAACGAAACAACAACCACAGGGAACACTAGGATGATTTCCTGCATGATCCACACGCACTCAAGTCTGACAAAGCCTGGGATATCAAACAAAACATGGTCGTCGATGGACAAAATCCTGCACCACTTTCTGGATGATTTATCCTGTTCTTTACAGGGTGCTGTTTGGTTACGAGATGTTACGAGTACCTTATTTTGTGCAGGAAAACTTGTCCATCCACGGGGCGGGTCAAATCTTTGACCGCTGAAAAACACCGTGGTTCCTTTGATCGTGACATTTGATTCACATTGACCCTCCAAAATTCCATCACATGTCCAAGGAATGGTAGGTTGTTATGTGCTCTTTTTTCGCCATAAATGGTAGGTTTTCATAGGTTTTCACCATGCATAGGAAGTAAACATACCCTACCCCATAGGATCCATGTATGCTATATATGGTAACATTTACCATCAATATATCCCAGTCATGTTAGCATATATACCAGCACCATGGATCCGTCATGGGCACATGGATCTGGATTTGAATAGAATTCAAGCTGAAAAGTTTGGTCATTTGCGAAAAAATCCTGTAATCCCAACCGTTGTTCCACTGAGGTCTTGATCAAGCTCGTCCAGATGTATCCCATTATACCCTCTGGTAATGACTAACATATGGAAAATCACCAGTGAAGAGTGAATTTTCCCATGAAAAATGGTGATTTTCCATTTAGTTATGTAACAGTTTACCAGTGGGTATCTCCATGAATATCCTTTGATATCCCATTATATCCAGTTCTATTCCCACTACATCCGCCCACTGTGGCTACAGTTCACCAGTAAACCATACAATGGGAATTTGGGACATCTATGGCATGGATACCCTACGATAATCAAAGATGGCAATGGATATTTTCCCCTTTCACAAGTGATGTTCCCTATAAAACCTTCATTTAGTACAGGTGTTTTCCGTCAAATCCCATATGTGCGACGGTCAAAACTCAATTCATGTGGTGAGGTCATGGCATCGCTTCACAAGGCCCCCTATCGCTACATACAGTCCCAGCACCCTTTTCACCAAATAGGCAGAATCGCTGCTAGAAGAGGAGGATCCAGATGAAGAATATAATAGCATATTTTCTAGCCATGTTCTCAGCATTTCCCTGGCATTTTGGGAATCTTTGACTCAACTGCCACGTTTGACACCGCAACGTGGTGGCCATATCCTAAGCCGCCAAGCCTCTGCGTGCTCTCCCCGGAGTCGGGGGAAAATGCCTCGGCGAATTCCGGCATAAAAACATCCCAGTAAACTTGCATAGCTAGTCTGGTTGGTGGTTTCAATCCCTCTAAAAAATGATGGAGTTCGTCAGTTGGGGTTACGAACTTCCTATTTTTTGAGGAAAGTCATAAAATTCCATGGTTCCAATCCACCAACCAGTAGTAGTTAAATGAATACTTAAATGGCTATCAAACCAACACTTAAATGGTGACTATTGAGCTATCATGGAGATATAATGTGATACACTGACACAGCTACTAATTGAACACTCGAATGATGATTCAACCAACACTTAAATGGCGATTGAAGCAACTATATCCCCATATATAATGGTATATCGGTATATCAAAGAAAAACTATGGCTACCCTCTGGTAAGCTAAAATATGCAACTTGAAATTGGCCTGTTTGGCTCGATGATCTACCGAAAAAAATAGTGGTGTTCTATATATGTTCAATTTCCACGGGCTAAATCCAACACAAAAAAAACAACAGTTGGACAATATCCAGTAGTAAAGTCATGCAACCGGGACCCCAGGACCCCATTCTTCAGGGGATGATGAGATTGTCATAGCTGCCATGGAAAGGTAGTGGAAAGGTAGTGGAACATAGTGGAATCACGGGCAAAAATGTCAGTTCTGTTGCCTTTTCGTGTATCATTGCATACTTTTGCGCCATTAAAAGTGGTTGTATCAGTCTTGCCTCATTGATCTCGGCCGTTTACCCATGTGGAAAACCAGCTTCCACAGGGAAACAGTCTACAAATGGTTGCTTTTCCACATCTGTGTTAGTTTACGGGTTAAATCCACCCATGTTGGAAGCCAGGCTACGGAAATGGGTCGCGCCATGTCAAAGAATGTGCTGGAGATCCAATTGGAATTCTCGCCATCGATGCCGTCGCGCAGAGAGTGAGACACCGGCCTGTCACGGCACTGGAACATGGCAACCAACAAAATCAACCAAGGAAACTTCCGAACCATAGTGGTACCTGGTGATATTGAATGATTTATGCCAACATTATAACTATAAAATCATACCATTGAAATTCATTAGTTACTAAAACCATAAGGTTTATGGTATGGCAATTTGGAGAATATCACATGATATGACCAGCTAGCCAATCATATGATTTCTTCCAGGATCATTGCTCATTGCACATGCGAGGTAATCGATATGCAGTTCTAGACAAACTAAACGTCTGCAGCAGCATTTCGTCAGCTAGTTGGAGCAAGATATAAGATAAGTACTATATTCCAATATATTCCAAGGGTATAAGCAATAATTTGCCCCTTAGTTGGATCATATTACAAATTATAAAACCGCGCATGACTTAGTGTGTAATCGTCCGTCATACATAACATTAATATCGTAAGCTGGTATGTTCATATCATAATCACGTATACCAATATGTATGTAAGAAGCTCATCTAATGTCATATTCAAAAACAGTGTAATTCATATATACATATATATATAACATGATATAACCAATGCCATGGGGTATGCAAACAAAATACTATGAAGGATCGGATTTAAGATTACATAATCAATAGTATGCGTTGATATGTTTTGCCATCTTACATATCTTGTAGGTCTTCAACAATTTATGATGGCTTTGGCCAATTCCCCAAGAATTTGTTCTTGCAGGAAACTCACTGGAACGTGGTTCGCAGTTGCACAAGGCAAACTGAATAGATAGTCACATAGTCTTCGTTCGGCCGAGAAAATGCAAGTGAACTCGAGATTTTCAATGATTCAAAGACCTGAATATAGGTCTTCATAAATAGTTACTTCATATTCAGCTAGAAATATTTCAATGATTCCCTAAATAGCCTTACTTCATTCCCTTTAGGGATGATTTCCCTATAAATTCACCATCATTCCCGTGGGTCAGGGTGAGGTCATTGCGGGCCTCGCACCGTTGGAATGTGTGAGGACGCCAAAAGCCTGACGACCAAACAAAATGATAGAAGAAAACAGGCCTTCACACGGAATGGATGGGGACTATTCAACTCCTAAATATGTTTATAATTGTCTCGTTTATTAATTTTAATATTATTATTATTAATAATATTATATTAATATGTTTATGTATATTATATATTATATATAATATATATATATATATTATAAAATGAATTAAATATTTGGTGTCTATAGAATAAGCCTTTAATTTAAAACTGCTCGTCAACCTGGGTCCCAGTCTTGCCAGGTAGCAAGACTATATGGAACTTATCGAAATTAGGTCGATACAAGTCGTGTTTAAGCAGTTTGAATTGATTGGCCTTACAAGGGAGGAGCCTAGTTATCTAGTTATAAACTGGTTTATAACCCCCTTTCAACCATAGAATGCTGTAGTTACATGTAGATACTATGTATATATATGTTGATGCAGTGCCATCCGCATCATGTCCATATCCATGGGTCAACTGCAGGCACATTTACGGCCACAAGGGAACAAAAGGATGGGCGCGACAGGGTTCGCGCGGTGAACGGGTGCTACCAATATTGGTAGCGGAGCCAGGTTAATCCTGGCTCCCGCGGCTCCTAGGAAGGTGCCATGGCGGAAATCGGCGCCTCCTTGAAATATTTTTCGGGGGGCGATGATGTGGACCACCGTGAGTACAAACGGTGGAAACAATGGGTCATCAACAAGATGAATGTGATGGAGAAGCTCCCCAAAAATGCCAGGGGTAGCTTTGTATGGACGCTCCTCCAGGGAAAGGCGTTGGAGGTGGTGGAACACCTGTCTGATGCTGATTATCAGAAGGAAGGTGGAGACGAAGTGATTTTCCAGCTGCTAGATGCGCGATGGCCTCAGAGAGAACGCAGTGATGAGATGGGCGAACACATCTCTGAGATCTTTGGCCTGAAAGCCAAGGATGGCGAAACAGTTCGCCAGTGGTGCGGCAGAGCCCGTGAGTGCTTTGACCGATGCAAGAGGAAAACTGGTGTATCCTTTCCTGATGAGGCCCGGGGATGGATCCTGCTCCAATGTAGTGGCATGAATGAGGAACAGCGTGCTGTAGTGCTGGCCAGGACACAAGGAGAACTGAAATTTGATACAATGGCTCAATCGATGAGGTCTTGTTACCCCGATTTCACTGTGTCCCGACGAAAGTCTATAGCAGGTGCTCACTTGGTAGAACCAAGGGCTATTCTGGAAGATGACATGGAGCCTCCCCTAAGCCAGGCCGAGGTGGACTTGCAGGACGTTGAGCTGTTCCTGACGGAGTATGGGAATGAAATTGACACTGCAGAACAGGATGAGACATATGAAGAACACGAGATCGCTGACATCTTAGCTGTTAGTTGGCGTGAGAAGCGTCAGGAGCTGAACAAGTTGAGGCAGGCGCGACAGTTTCACAAGGAAGCTGATACGCGTAAGACATATCGCATTGAGGTCGAGGAGCTCAAGAAAAGAACCCGGTGTCACCGATGCAAGAAAATTGGACACTGGGCCAAAGAATGCAAGGCTCCACGAAACATTGTGCCCAAGCCTGCTGCCAGCTCCGGTAGCACCCATGCAGCCGGCTGCGTTCAAGCAGTCGATACCGAACACTTTGTGTGTGCAGCTGGATGGATCAATGGTCCCAAGACCCTCCTGGCCCGAGTGAGAGCCCTTAGATTGAACGCTGAACTGCCTACTCCCGTGCAGGAGAACATCGAGTACCCAGTGTCACTGGTATCCTCGCCAGGTTTTGCTGTGCTTGATTCTGGTTGTGGAAAAACAATTGTGGGAGCAAACACACTGTCTGCTTTCAGAAAGATTTGGAACGACTCGGGAATTGAACAACCTCAGCCATTGACTGAAGAGAACATGTTCCGTTTTGGGAACGGTGCAAGCGAGCTGTCAAAAGAATCCATTGAGATGCCGGTATGTTTAGCTGCACGTGCTGGAACCATTCGTGCAGCCATTGTGAAGGGAGATGCACCACTGCTTCTCTCCCGACCTGCCATGAAAAGGTTGTCTGCAGAGATGGATTTTTCCCGTGACGAGCTGCGTTTGTTCAATGGGAGCACCCGACTCACAATGCAAGTCAATGCTGCGGGACAATACATGATTCCCGTGACGGAGTTCCCACAGAAACTCCAACCAGTTGAAAGCCCGCCGGTGGCTCAAGAGAGTCTGACCGTAGGAGATGTAACCAGTGAAGCTTTGCCCATCGACGCCCATGAACCTGATGCCCCGACCCAGAAGTCGGTGAACCACGAGCCATGCCCAGTGCCCAAGGGGGATAGTGGTAATGAATGTGGAGGTAATGGGAATAATGGGGTAACCATAGTGGGTAAAAAGGGTAAGTCAAAAGACTACTGGGTGATCAGACCTGCTGCCAGAGAAGTAGCCCGGATCCACTTGCGGGCAAGATCTGAACGTTTCACACCATGTCAGACTCACTGCCCTGTTTTGCCTGAGGACCTTAGTAGCTGTAGGACTACTCACTGGTACGTTGCTGACAGCAATGAAGCACCTCAAACCGTGCATGACCACTGGACTGATCCTCATGTTGCTCATGAACATATCCCTGTGCCCACCGGGAAATACTGGATAGGTGAAACCGTTTTTCAATTGGCTCCCCATGCTGTGCTGCCGTCAGGTACCGAGCACGAAGTGATGCTGAATCAATGGACTCCCAAGCAAGCCCGCCAAGTGTCTCAGCATTTCAAGCATATTGGGAATAAGGGTAATCAGCCTAAGCCATTTGATGTGATCGAAGTTTTCTCACCTCCCAGATTTGCCAAACAAGCCGCTGTTCGGGGTGTCAAATGTTTGTCAGCAGATTTACTGACTGGATGGGATTTTCGGAAACCTGAGCATAGGGAGCACATGAAAAGGCTGATAAGAGAAACGCCTCCGGAACTGCTGATCCTGTGTCCGCCATGCACATGGGCGGGAGGATGGTTCAACCTGAACCGCATGTTCATGTCAGCTGAGGATGTTGCCGAAAAACAACGATTAACCATGCTGTTCATCAATTTCTGTTGTGAGCTGATAGAGCTGCAGCTGGCATCCGGAAACCGTGTTTTGTTTGAACATCCAAAAGGGTCAATGGCATGGAAGATGCCGAAAGTTCAGAGACTGATGTCTAAGATGTACGTTGTGGAGTGCGACATGTGCTGTTTCAATCTCCGCATTCCCAAGGGTCCTCGCATTCGCAAGGGTACCAAGTTACTTGTGTCCCATGGTAACATGAAGTCACTAGGGAAGAAATGCCCGGGAAAACACCATCCCGATCATGTCCATCACCATGTTGTCGCCGGTTCCCACCCTGAGGTTGGAAGTGTGAGCAGGTTTGCCGGCCAATACACTGACGCCTTTGTGCGAGCCGTGATGGACTGTGCACCCAATTTGCGATGCAATCCAGTTTTGAGTGTTGCCTGTCACAGCCCAACGGAGTGTCTGGTTGCTGCTCGTGTCAATGAGTTGAATGAGGAATCCTTGTCCAAGATGAAAACCAGCATTCACAAGCTACATGAGAATTTAGGACACCCTGGAAATCAGCATATGGTTCGGTTGTTAAAACATGGTGGCGCCAGCCAAGCCGCACAGGATCTCGCCCGAGATCATGCATGCCCGCAGTGCCAATCACGTGCAAAACCGACTCCAGCGCTTCCGGCGCAGCCAGAACGTGTGACCAAGTTCAACCAGAGATTGGGCATAGACATCAAGTACGTTACAGGATGGAATACCAATCACAAAGTCCCCGCTCTCAACATGATTGACTATGCGAGTAGCTTTCAAGTTGTTGTTCCAATCTTTGAACGTGTGACCTCAGATGGCATCCGCCGTATCGTTCAAGAACGTTGGATCAGCTGGGCTGGGCAGCCTGATGAAATCATGTGTGACCCGGCCAAGGTCAACATTTCTGAAGCCATGACTGTGCCGAATGAATTGGCAGGGTCAGTTTTCCATATCACTGCGGCCGATGCTCACTACCAGCTTGGAAAAGTAGAGGTTCATGGAGGTTGGTTCAATCAGGTATTGGAACGAATCATGCACGACATGTCACCAAACAGCAAGGATTCTTGGTTGGAATGTATCCATGCAGCCCACTGTAAGAATGAGCTGATTCAAGTTTATGGTATGACCCCTGCTCAATTCATTTTTGGCCGCAATCCCAAGATTCCCGAGAATCTGTTGGACGAGCCCTGCGAAGTCATTCCTGCCACTGCTCCCTTATATGAAGCTGAGGTGGCCAGGAAAGTTGCGGTTCGACAGTCTGCCCGAAAGGCTGTGATGGAGATGCAAGACAGCAAAGCACTGCGCTTAGCCTTGTCCGCCAGACCACGTCATCAAAATGAACCTAAGCCTGGGGATCTGGTAGCCTATTGGAGGTCTCAGAAATGGGAAAAGGGTACTTTGGATAACCAAGGCCGATGGCATGGGCCGGCCATAGTACTAGGCAAAGTAGGTAGGAACCATGTTGTTGTTCACAAGAGACAGGTCTTGCGATGCGCTCCAGAACAAATTCGTGCAGCGACGTCAGAAGAACGTCAACTGATTCGTGCACCTCATGCCGAACTGTTGGGGTTGAAGGATGCCTTTGAAACCGGTCAAATTACCAGTAAGCAGTATGTTGATTTGGTTCCATTGGATTACCCCACAGAGGCACCGGAGAGCCCTTCGGCAACCTCGCCATCACCTCCTCCAGCGGAGGGTGAAGCCGTCAAGTCCTTGGGTGATCGCTTAGCTGTTGAGAGTGACATGCCAGAAGCTCATCCTCAAGCTAGGCCCCAGTACCCAAATCCTACT